CTGAAATGAAGCCAAATAAAGCTAAGCAAGCATGTTACCTTTATAAGCTTTAAACACAAGAAAATGAGACACAAAGGGAGAGGGGTGTCCCTCCCCTATACATGACCTCAAAACCACTTCTCCACCACTCAAGATCCTCTGGATTTTAGTGGTGAGAAGGCCAAAACAAAAAGGTTACAAAGCCCAAAGAGGAAGGCACAAAAAGAGGCCAAACAAGGCCTAAGAAGGGGGGGGGGGACAACCCCCAACACAAAAGTGACCTTAATGAAACATCTTAAGCATGAAAATACAGAATTTTTATCAGTTATACACTAAGCTCGAAACAATATGCAAATAGGTCTAAAGCCTTAAGCAAAAATGGAGAATAAAAGGGTAAGTTCTTACCCTTGAAGAACACTTCAAGAACAACAAGACCAGCACCTCCCTTTGATCAAAACCCAACTCAAAACTCTAAAATCAAACCTTTAGAACCTCAATAACCCAAGTATAGTGTGACACTAGGTGTCTTAGTGCAAAACTAAGAGCAAAACACCCTTTAGGACACTATTACATACACAAATGTATAGAGAGAGAGAGATATATATCAAATATATCAGAGTTGTTCAACCTTTGGAAAGGGAGGGGAGGCCCTCCTCTTATAGAAAAATCAATTTGCAAAGCTACCTCAACCAAACATGGCATGGGTTAGGCAATAAAAACAGAGCTATAATATGCCAAAATGAGTCCCAAAATCCACTGATATGGCAGCCCAAAGACTTAAACAATGAGGGGTGCACAATGACCCCTTTTCAATGCATAAAAGAACAACTCTTCAAAGCATTGAAAGGATGGTAAATGCAAGCATACAAGCATGGAACATGGACTGAAATAGCATGATAAGTGATTCCAAATCACCGAAATAGCCCAAATAAAGCATGCTCATGACTCACACACCCAAAGCTAACAAGCTAAAATGCAAAGTGGCTATACAAAGCATGGTAAACATGACCCAAAAGACCAAAAACAGAACTTAAGCATGTCATAACATAGGTAAAAGCTTCATGGAGTCAAACTAAAACATGCATGCATGATGGTCTAAATGCATGATACATATTATGACAATAGAGGGGATTACAAAGCAAGTGCATGATGCATGCAATAGGCTATCGAACCAACATGAAATAGAGATATAACATGCTAAACTAAGGCCAAATACCCTCTGAAATGAAGCCAAATAAAGCTAAGCAAGCATGTTACCTTTATAAGCCTTAAACACAAGAAAATGAGACACAAAGGGAGAGGGGTGTCCCTCCCCTATACATGACCTCAAAACCACTTCTCCACCACTCAAGATCCTCTGGATTTTAGTGGTGAGAAGGCCAAAACAAAAAGGTTACAAAGCCCAAAGAGGAAGGCACAAAAAGAGGCCAAACAAGGCCTAAGGGGGGGGGACGACCCCCAACACAAAAGTGACCTTAATGAAACATCTTAAGCATGAAAATACAGAATTTTTATCAGTTATACACTAAGCTCGAAACAATATGCAAATAGGTCTAAAGCCTTAAGCAAAAATGGAGAATAAAAGGGTAAGTTCTTACCCTTGACGAACACTTCAAGAACAACAAGACCAGCACCTCCCTTTAATCAAAACCCAACTCAAAACTCTAAAATCAAACCTTTAGAACCTCAGCAACCCAAGTATAGTGTGACACTAGGTGTCTTAGTGCAAAACTAAGAACAAAACACCCTTTAGGACACTATTACACACACAAATGTATATAGAGAGAGATATATATCAAATATATCAGAGTTGTTCAACCTCTGGAAAGGGAGGGGAGGTCCTCCTCTTATAGAAAAATCAATTTGCAAAGCTTCCAAAGGAAGCTAGACAAGGATGAAATCCCTCCATACACGTGTATGGAGGGGGTGCATTGTGGATGCCAGTTGTGACAGCTGGCATAAAATATCTGCCAAAAGCAGATGAAAAGGGATCGGCCGGAGAATTTGGCCGATTGACCTACACAAATGGCCGACCGATCAAAAACATTGCCAACCAGCCAATACCTTTGGCCGGTAGAAAGAAAACAGGGCCGGTGGCCTCAAACCATGGTCGGTGGGTTGAGGGGATGGCCAACAAGACACCCTTTTACCTTAAAATCAAAAACACAAGTGTTTGGTCCATGACCAAGCACAAAATAAATAAGTTGAGAGATCTCGAGGCAAGGTGCGTAGCCGAGACCTCCGAGAACTCAAAACGAACACGAGCATGAATGATCACCGAGTGTTCAAACGGTGACGTCCAAGTCTTGGGGACGGTCAAAAATGGGATGTCTACAGTAACCCTACCCCATCATAGGGGTGTTTTGTCTTTAACTTGCTTGATACGTGCTTTTAGAGTAAAACTCTATAGGAATATATGTATCAGTCGCAAGTCTGGGTATCAGTTTGAGTGTATTAGTTTTGAGGCAGAAATTTGGGGCAGAAATCAGTGTTTGAGTACAGTCATCCAGCTTTTGACTGCAACTGTGTGTTGTTTCTATCTGAGCCAAGATGTTGTGTGATTTCTGATTTTTGCTTCTTTTTGCTTTATTTTTCTTTTTGCAAGGTAGTGTTTTACACTTGCTTCAGACGAGATAGTTACTTGCCAAGCACTCTGGACTCGAGTAAGGAGGCTTTACCGATTTGGGGATCTTGTAAGAGGACAACCAGTGTTTGCTTCACTACACCTGGTTAACAGACGGAAGAGAGTTAGGCATAGCTCACCGGTTCAGCGGTCACCAATTTAGCAGTTACTAACTACTTCACCTATGCTCAATGAAGCCTAGTTATCTGCTTCTACCTCAGAAAGGGAGAACGCACCAGTCCTGATAGATCAGCACCCCTCAGTTAACATAGAGGATATGATGCGTCAACTCCAGCAAACTATTGAGAATATTCAGTTGGATGCTGCCCGTCAAGCCGAGGTCACTGCCAGCCAAGCAGAGATTACAGCCCAGCAGGCTGAGTTAATTGCTAGGCTATAGCAGCAGCAACCCCAACAAGCAGCAGCTTCTGCTTCACACCCACCCCCAGTCAGGGTTCCAATACTTGGGGTTACAACTAATGTCCAGGAAAATGCGGACATTCCGGCAGAGCCAATTCCACCTCAGACCTCCAAGGCACCAAGGTAGCAGACGGAGGCACCGTTTGAGTTTGAAGTTAACCCTACAGGATTGAAAGTGAGCAGGCTTGAAAAGCACTTTAAACGAGCTCAGGGTGTGAATTTTATACCGGATATAGAGGGCGGCTATACTGATTCGGTGGTGACATTGCTGGATAGGTTTAAAATGTCGTATATAGACTGCGTTGATGGCTCGGGTGATCCCATGGTCCATCTACGGCTGTTCTATGATATTCTACGACCCATGGGTCTCACTAGACTACAAACGTTGTGCTCTTTGGTTGGACCATGTCTGGTATAGGAGCCATATGGAATACTAAGCTCGAAGACTCCGTGAAGAGGAATTGAGAGTAAATGGCTGAGGCCTTCATACTGCAGTACTCCTACAACACATTGATTGAGGTCACGACTCATGATCTCGAAGCAACTCGTCAGGAACCAAATGAGGGTTTCTCTGATTTTGTGACCCGTTGGAGGGCGAAGGCCTCTATGATGACCACCCGGCCAGCTGAAAAGGATTAGATTAGAATGGTCATCTATAATCTACAACCGAGGCTGCTACAGAAGATGATAGTCTTACCTCTGTGTACATTTGCCGACCTCCATGAAATACGGGTGCAAATAGAGGATGCAATGAAGTAGGGTTTGATAGACCATGAAAAAGAGCAGCCTAAGAAGGGTTATACGCGCAGTTCCAATGCTGCTACAAGTAGTAATGCTGCTACAAAGAATTCTGATGTTGGTATGGTCACACCACATCGAAAATAGCTACCCCTTTGTCGGTACGGCCAATACAACACCCCAAATTTCTATCCATCAGGACCGAGGCCAGAGGGTTTTCACCCCACTCTACATGTCTTTATCTGTGGCCTTGAAGATCCTGATGAGAAAAGGGCATTTGAAATCGTTAGAACAACGGCCTTTACCTGATCCTCTTTCTCTTAAACATAACCCGGCTAAGTATTACGCCTTACATCAACAACATGGTCATGATACTGACCAGTGCTTTAGACTTCGTCATTAGATTCAGGATCTCATTGACAACAAAGTGATAACGTCTCCCTAGAAGCCAAATGTCACTACAAACCCTTCCCTACCACATAATCAGGTCCCTCCACCTCAGCATATAAACCTTATCCAAACACTGGCCGTCCCGTATGACCCCAGTATATACATCACCCCCTCCTACCTACCTAAGCCGATGCTATTCATCTGAGAAAGCACAGACTTGTGCATGATGAACGCGTCCTTATCTTAACCTGAACCTGTGGTGGTGACTGTGGTAGACAAAGGTAGGATAGCCTTGGTGGAGAAAAGGAGTGTTAGCTTAGTGCCTGAGGGTTCTATAAACTTATCTGAGGAGGAATACAATCTGTGTTGCTACATTATGCCAATCAGTCAACCAGAGCTGAAAGTCATGTTGCCGATACAAATGGAGGTAAATGTAGTCTGGGAGGACAGATCAAGCCACGGACTAGATGACATAGCCGAGCTTGAAGAGGACATCAGTGACCTGCAATTCTTCAATGAACAAGATCTGGGGAATATACAGATTGACTGGTTTGATATGAACGGGTCAACAGATAATTCAGGCTGGCTCAGTGATGAACCAGATGTTGATGAGGGGTCTCAACGAAAGCAGAAACAACTAGAAATAGGAACTGCTACAACGGTCGAAATGGTCGATGACAAGGGAAAGTTGCTAGAGAGCACCGGTACTAAGAAGTGTGCTCAGGAATTGAGTAGCATTTGTACAGCTGATACAGAGCAGGAGGTCGTGCTGAAGTGGTTCGAGCAAGAAAGAATTGAGAATGAGTAGAAGGCTAGAAAAGCCAAAGGCCTTACGGGGATTGACTGTGATATGGATGTGGGAATACTTACAATAGAACCAGACAGTTATTTGTCAGTTGTTGGGGGAATGTGGTGGGAAGATGATGATTTGCATCTCGCCCACATGGATGAAGATTGGGGACGGAATCTACAAGTTGATACTTGGTATTCCGAAGAAGTGGACCACATGACTAGGAGCGGGCAGTACTTTAAGCCCCCACACCTGGACCAACCAGAAGCATCTAGGAAAGATAAGGAGGCAGAAAAACAGAAGGAGAAACTACTAGAAGAAGAAGCTATACTGAAGCAACTAAAGAAGATTCAAGCAGACATATCCATCTGGGGATTGCTCACGACTTCATAGGTGCACAGACAAGCCGTCCTATCAGCAATGGATAAGGCTAAGCTCTCTATTAACACAACCCCCGAGCAGTTAGTGGGACTAGTCTTCTCGGGAGGGGCTTCGCTGACTTTGACCTTTACAGATAAGGAATTACTGCTTGAGAGCTCTGAGCATAACAAACCACTATACATCTCCGTTGAATACAAAGAGAAGTGGGTATCAGTTGTCTTGGTTGATACCAGGTCTGCAATTAATGTGTGTCCATCATGCACGGCATATGCTATTGTCCTGAAGCCAGTAGACTTTGTACCAACGGCCCAGGTGATTCGGGCTTGCGACAATACAAGTCGAGAGGTGGTGAGGATAGTTCGGGGTCAGAACACAGGTTGGTCCAGCATAACAGGATATTGACTTTCACTTCCTGGATGTTTCAGCCACTTTTAATTTACTCCTTGGGCGGCCATGGCTGCACCAAGTAAAAGTTGTCTCTTCCACTCTCCATCAGATGTTGAAGTACCCCCATGGAAAAAGGGTAGCTATTGTTTTTGGGAATTCTTCTATACATCCTCCATCGGAAGTCACTGCACCGGTACTAGAAATTGTACACAGCCATGAGGATGTTTTCTTGTCTGGATTCACCTTGGCTGAGGTCCAGGGGTACAAGATATCTTGGTTACTGATGAGGGGTTGTGCGTCAGTGCTCAATCAGTCTACCTCATGAATAATCTACAGCATGTACCCGGAATGGGATTAGGAAGGAGCGGCCGTAAGGGCATTGCTGCATTGGCCGAAGTGCCACATAACCCTTATAGCTTTAGTCTAGGTTACACGCCTACCAGAGAGGACTGGGTAAGAAAAGGGAAGGAAATGGTAGGAAGAGCCAAAGCTAAGCAAAGTGGGAAGCACTATGAGTTGGTGCATAGACCCATTCAAGGAACCCTAAGCGGCCGCTTTGTACGAGAAGGGGATGATTTCCCATTTTGCGGCTTTCCTTAGCCATGGTTTAACTTTGAGAAGCGGCGTTTACTCGGCTTTGAGATTTTCTTTGACCTCCAGCTGTAAGATGATGAGGTTATGGAGGAAAAAACTGACTTACCAGCTGAGGTTGAACAGAGTACAGAGGATGCGTCCATTGGCAGTGAACTTGAGATAAGAGCAGCGCTGGCATGTCTCCTTTTGGATCCTTAGATCAACCCGCTGAGCTTGGGGGATGACTTCACCGTTTCCATGATCGGATATCAATTAGGTGTGGACCCTTCCGATGGTATTCTGGATGCGTCTATCGCACCCTCCCTTGTTTGGTAGTTTGAGGAGCGCTTTTTGTCCAGCAGGTCTGAATTAGGTAGTGAGCCGGAATCTGATTCCATAGAGTCTGCGGAGTCAGAATCAAATTCCAGTTCTTCTGAGTCGGAGTTCGGTATTCCTGGGGTTGATAACCCGGATGCCGTTGTCTTGTCCTGGACGTCTTTTTCCTTTTCTTTTGAGTCAGTTGTAATCGATGATTAGACGAGCTGGAAGCTTTGAATGAGAATGGTGCCACTGCTGTTTTTGATTACTTTTCTGTGCCTCTTGTGTATTGCATTGATCATGACTTCCAAAATTTTGATAAAAACGACGAGGAAGGAATTCCTCTGGTTTTAAAACATTTGATTGATCGAGAGGAGCAGAGGTTTGTAAAACCCCTTGTTGATGAAATCACTACAATTAATATGGGTACTGAGAAGGATTCGCGTCCGGTCCTGATCGGGTCCACGTTGTCTTCAGAGGAACACGAGTGCTTAGTCGCTTTATTAAAAGATTTCAAAGATGTTTTTGCGTGGTCCTGCAAAGACATGCCTGGAATTGATCCTAAGATTGTACAACACCGGATCCCTCTCGACCCTGAGGCCCGACCTGTCAAACAGAAGTTGAGAAGAATATGCCGGGATTGGGCTTTGAAGATTAAGGAAGAGGTCACCAAGCAGATAGACGCAGGGCTTTTGCTGGTATCTGAGTATTCAGCTTGGTTGGCCAACATTGTTTTGGTGCCGAAGAAAGATGGCAGAATTTGGGTGTGTGTGGATTTAAGGGATTTGAACAAAGCCAGTCCGAAGGACGACTTTCCTCTACCACACATCGACGAATTGGTGGACTACACCGCAGGCCATGCGCTACTCTCCTTTATGGATGGATTTTCCGAGTACAATAAGATTTTGATGGCACCCGAGGACAGAGAGAAGACTGCCTTCACCATGCCGTGGGAAACCTACTGCTATAGGGTGATGCCGTTTGGGCTTAAGAATGCAGGGGCTACTTATCAACGGGTTGCGACCACTATCTTGCATGATTTGATCCACAAAGAGGTTGAGGTGTATGTGGACGACATGATTGTCAAGTCTAAGGAAAGGAAGGGCCACTACATCGCCTCGAAGAAAATTTTCTAACGGATCAAAGAGTACAGATTGAGGTTGAATCTGCAAAAGTGTACGTTTGGCGTAACAGCAGGGAAAATGCTGGGGTTCTTGATTACACAGAGAGGCATCGAAGTCGATCCTTCCAAAATCAAGGCCATCTTAGAAATGCCACCACAAAGGACTAAAAAAGATGTGCGGGGTTTTATGGGTAAAGTACAATTCATAAGACCGTTTATCGCAAAATTAACCTTGACTTGTGAACCACTTTTTGGTCTGTTGAAGAAAGGAAATAAGTTCCAATGGGATGACCGATGCCAATTCACTTTCGAGCAGATCAAGCAGTATCTACAAAGCCCACCTGTGTTGTCACCGCTGGAGCCGGGGAAGTCGTTGATTTTGTATCTGTCTATAACGGACACAACTATGGGTTGCATGCTTGCTCAGGAATCTGAGGATAGGGTGGAGAAAGCCATCTACTACTTGAGCAAGAAGATGGTAGACTATGAAACCCGTTACACCCCTTTAGAAAAGGCTTGCTTAGCCTTGGTATGGGCTACCAGGAAGTTGAGGCACTACCTGTTAGCTCAATCTGTAATTCTGGTTTCGCGATTAGATCCCATCAAATATCTCTTTGAGAAATCGGCACTTACAGGTAGGCTAGCCCGTTGGTTGCTTCTTCTCTCCAAATTTGATTTCAAGTACGTGAATCGCAAGTCTGTCAAGGGGAGAGCAGTAGCAGAGTTTCTAGCATATCACCCAATAGAAGGGGATGAAGAGGTAGAATACCTATTCCCAGATGAGGCCATTATGTAGGTCGAAGAAGAAACCTAGACAATGTACTTTAATGGAGCGTCAAACCAGTACAGGTATAGGATAGGGGTGTTGCTGATAGCACCCGACAATTCCCACATACCCTTAGCCTTCAAACTCTGATTCGAAGTATCGAATAATGAAGCAGAATACGAGGCGTGTATTGTAGACTTGGAAGCCGCCCTGGAACTAGGGGCAAAAAGGCTGGACGTTATCGGGGACTCAAACCTGGTTGTGTCACAAAGAAACGGTGACAGGAAAGTCAAGGAAGAAAGGATGAAGACTTATCACCAGACCTTGGATATTCTGATTACTCGGTTTGAGAAGCTAACCTTCACCCATCTTCTAAGAGAGAACAACAGGTTTGCTGATGCTTTATCAACTCTATCATCAATGATAGACATCCCTTTGGGAGTCCGGATGCGTCAAATCATTATTGAACAGAGATATACGTCGGCCTACGAGTTGATTGCCACAATAGATGAAGAACAAGATAAAAACCCCTGGTATTATGATATCTGGAACTTCTTGGAAAAGAAGGTTAATCCACTAGGGGCGAATGCCAAAGATAAGAGGGCAATACAACGGATGGCCGTTTAGTTTATCATCTACAGGGGTAAGTTGTACAAATGTGGTCATTTGGGAATGCATAAACTGTGTGTTGATGCAGAAGAGTCAAAGAGCCTAATGGAGGCCATCCATGGGGGAGAGTGTGGGGCACACACGAGCGGAGTAATGCTAGCCCGGAAGATTCTCAGACAGGGTTACTACTGGTCAACCATGGAGGAGGATTGTATCGGTTTTGTTCGGCGATGCCATAAATGTCAAATCCATGCAAATCGAATGAATATTCTGCCGTCGATGCTGTACAACATGACTTCTCCGTGGCCTTTTTCAGTCTGGGGAATTGATGTCATTGGGGTAGTTACACCGAAGGGCTCGAATGGGCATGAGTATATCCTGGTGGCAATAAACTACTTTACAAAGTGGGTGGAAGCCCAATCATATGCGGTGCTGAAAGCGTCGCATGTAGCCATGTTCATCAGGAATAACATCATCTGTCGCTATGGAGGTCCCGAATGAGATCATTTCAGACAATGGTTCCTACTTCAAGAAGGAAGCGATCGACTTGTTGGAGAAGTACAATGTGGCTTTTCATAAGTCATCCACATATCGGCCACAAACCAACGGAGTTGTTGAGGCCGCCAACAAGAATATCAAGCACATTTTGCAGAAGATGGTGGAAACCTATAGGGACTGGCCAGACAAGTTGCCATTTGCTCTCTGGGGCTATAGAACATCAATTTGAACATCTGCTGGGGAAACTCTGTATTCTCTGGTTTATGGGATGGAGGCTATTCTGCCGATCAAAATTGAGGTACCGTCACTGCGGGTAATGGCAGAATGTCAGATAGCAGAGGCGGACTGGCAGCAGAGCAGGTTAGAAGAAATTATGTTATTTGACAAGATGAGGCTGAAAGCACTGTACCATGTTCAAGGTTATCAATGCAGAATTGGCAGGGCTTTCAACAAGAAAGTCAAGTCAAAGAATCTGAAAGAAGGGGATTTAGTGCTCAAAGACAACCGAGCTCCCATCTATGACCCTAGGGGCAAGTTCA